GAGACTTGGGTGTATGTGAGCAAAGAACACAATAATTAGCCTGCAGACTCAGCCATTAATTGGGAGGATGAAAAACTGGATTGGATATAAAAGTGATACTGACTTTAAGTACAGCCTTTGGGGTGACAGCACACTGAGAATGCATGGTGCAGTTTTGGTCTCCGTGTTGAGGCAGTACAGGTGAGGGCTGATTTAATTGGTCCCTGGATCAGAGGGTTGTCCTAAGATGAGAGACTGAGTAAATTGAGGTTATGTTCGCTGGAATTCAGAAGAATAAGAGATGATCGAATTGAGAGATACAAGTTTCTGACTTGTACACAAGTGAGAGATTGTTTCTGCCTATCAGAGAAACTAAAACTGAAAAGGCTGTCTCAGGTTAAGGTGATGATGGTCATTGAGGATTGAGGTGTAGAGAGATTTCCAAACTCAAATGGTTGTGAATCCTTGGAATTCTCCAACCAAAAGGGTTATGGTTTTTTTTTAATTCTTTCAATGAATGTGAACTTTGTCGATATTGCCCATCCTAAATTGCACTTGAACTGAGTGACTTGCTTGACCATTTCAGAGGGCAATTAAGAGTCAGCCACATTGCTGTAGGCCTGGAGCCACAAGTAGGCAGGACTAGGTGAGGACTGCAGTTTTTCTTCTTCACTAAGAGCATTAGTGAACAAGATGAGTTTTTACAAATAATAGTCATCATGATCACTGTAACTGAGATGCTTCCAATTCCAGATTTTATCCATTGAATTTAAATTCCACTGATTAACTTAGTGGGAGTGCGATACTCCATATTGAACATATTTAAGACTGGGGAGTGGATGGGGTTGTGGAAAGTGCAACACCAGTCATTTCTGTATTAAAGGGCAGAATGGTCTTGATGCTCTATCCCTACTCCTTTATCTTGTGCTTTTGCAAATGATGGGAACATATTGAAGATGATACTAAATTAAAGCAACCTTATACAAACTAATGCAAAAATTAAACAGAAAAAAGTGATGATATCTCACAAATAGTCTCAAAAGGAGGTACTTACTTGAATAAATATAAATTAAAACATTGATCAGAGATGCAAAGAGAGACTGGGAAAAAAGCATAGCTGCAGAGACAAAACATAACAGAAAAAAATGTCTTTTGGTGCTGCCACAGAAAGGAAGTTGTCAGAGGCTAGACAACAGGTATTTCTGACAGAAGGACCAGCTTCAACACAAGGCAACATGTTTTACATGGAGTGTTGCTTAAATCTCAAATGCACCGGTTAAAAGGGCAGTGAAAGCTGATTCAATATTAACTTTCCAAAATGAAGTGGATGAATTGTTGAAGGTACAAAATATGCAAGGCTACAGAGAAGGAGCATGGAGAATGGGAATAATCAAATAACTCTGCCAAAACATCACAACAGGAATAATGGGGCCCAGGTTTTCAATCGACAATGGGAACCTGGAGGTGCATCATGTTCCTGTCTTTGTCTCCAGCCTGCTGTGAAGTGGGCATTTCACAGGGGCTTAATGACCTTAGAAAATGGTCTACCACCCAAATCATGACTAGGATGCTAAGAATGGTGACAGGACACCAGGGATTTGGAGATGCCGGTGTTGGACTGGGGTGGACAAAGTCAGAAGTCACACGACACCAGGTATTGGTCCAACGCGATTATTTGAAATCACAAGCTTTCAGAGCACTGCTCCTTCATCAGGTGAAATAGTTCATCAGGGAGGTAGAGCTAGTTCTGGCCTGAATTGGCAGCCATTTCTGTGGATTGTTACTTGTACGTGGATCTTCGTGTTCAAAGTGGCCATTGGAAATGGAGAGCTAGGACCCAATGCACCCAATTTATGAGATACCAACTTTACTGCCAGTCTTCTGCTCCCCATATCCATGGAAAAGGCAGCAGACTGTAAGCAGGGATAATAGACTGACCATTAGATCTGGGTATCTCTGGGTGGATTAGCATTGGATCTGGGTATCACTGTCTTGGCCAACATTGCATCTGGGAATCAGTGGCTAGTATGTGAAAAAGTAAAAGTGAGGTGAGGAAAAACCTTCTCATGCAGCAAATAGTTTGGGTCTGGAATGCACGTGGAGTGTGGTGGGTGTTCAGTCGAGGCATTCAAGAGAGAAATAAGGAATAATATGCAGGGTGACAGGAAGATGGTGGGAGAAAAATTGGACAGGGAAAAATGCTCCTTTGAAGATGCAGTGCAGATATGATTGGCCAAATGGCCTCCTTTTGCACTACAGCAAATCCATGATTCTGTGACAAGCACCAGGCAAACGTAGCTGCAAACAGGGAGGGGGAGGTGGGCTGCTGGAGGATATGCCTGTGTCTCCAGGGACTCCTAGAATTGCTCCTAAAGTTGCCTGAGGTGTTTCCACTTCCCAGGGTGATCGTGTGGCTACTGGGTTGGATGTGAGGCACAGAGGGGTTGGATGGGGTGGGGACTGGGTGCAGGGGTTACACCACAAGAGTTCAGGACAGACTTGATGGAGCAGGCAGACTTTACAAGCCAATTAATGTGGGCTGCAATTATGGAGTTGAATTGGCTTCATCCTGCCCAATTAGAGCTTTGAAACTCCCTAATGAGATTAAGAAGCAGACGAAACCAGCAATGGCTATTAATGTGAGATGTGCACATCGTTCTCATGAATGGTTTAATATTTTATTCTACTTGACTGATGGCCCAATAGTTCATTATAGGAAATCAAGAAATAAAGCTCCTATTAATAAATAATCATTCAGCTTCTTTGTGAAATAGCTCTGTTGCAGTTAAATTAGCTTAGTAGCAGATGAGATTGCACTTATAAGTGAGTGCGGAAGCAAATCCAGCATAGAATCATAGACTCCCCACAGTGTCGAATCAGGCCATTCAACCCATCAAGTCCACACTGACCCTGCAAAGAGCATCCCACCCAGACCCACCCCCCTATCTTATTCCTGCATTCCCCACCCTAGACAGTATGGGCAATTTAGCATGGCCAATCCACCTAACCTGCACATCTTTGGACTGTGGGAGGAAACCGGAGCACCCAGAGGAAACCCACGCAGATATGGTGGGGAGAATGTGCAAACTCCGCACAGACTGTCGCCTGAGGGTGGAATTGAACCCGGATCCCTAGGCTGTGAGGGAGCAGTGCTAACCACTGAGCCACCCCAAATTAAATGATATTTCAATAGCAATTAGATGATATTTCACTCACTCCTGAATCAATTTGTGCTGGTTCAGAAAAATCAACGTGTAATGAAGTGGACTCATTGTGCGGAAGGTTAAATATCATCCTGACAAATAACAGCAGTCAGGCAAGGCTGGTAGGACAGATGTCAGAGCAGGAGGTTTCAGAGTTGACAACTTAGTGTCTGTACAGTGATGTTGAAATGTCCACCAGCTCTCACATACAGACAGGAACAACAGTCAAGAACAGGAAACAAAACATGCTATATTGCACAGGGGGAGTTTATAGAATTTAATACATTATCATAAACAGTTAACTAAAAATAACCATAATGTAGAGTTACTTCTTTAAACACCTTTATTAATTTAAGTAGACAGTCTTTTCTGAGGGCTTACTGAGTAAAAGACACCCACCATGGGTTTGGCCTGAACCTTGTCGTCCAGGAATATTTATACTATATTGACTGAGTTGGCAGTAGGATCACTGGTTTCAATGGTACTGGGGTCACATAGTGTGATATTAGTAACAGTTACATCAAAACAATCACAATATATTTAAACCAAATTAACTTCTTCAATATCAAATACCCCACTGATGAACTTTCAAAGCGTGGGAATATTAGGAGATTGATAGACTTTTTCTGATAAACTAGTTTCAAGGATTATGTACACAATGTTATCAACTACAAGGCAACGAAAGAGAAATCACTTCTTAGTTTAGTTCTGCTGCTTGCTATAGCAAAGAACAGGAGCAGTGGAAATGATACATTGTAAAGTTGAAATTATTTAGAAACAGGAAAATGCAAAACGTCCAAGCTGGTGTTTGACAGACTTCCTTGACTGATCTGTCATCTCTTTCTGGTTCAGAGAAATGCATCACTCAGTAAGAATTTAAGGAGCGAGGGATACTAATTAGAAGTCTTCCTGGCATCAAGTTGACATTTTAACATATGTTTCTATTAAAATTAGTAAAAAGTGCTGCTTTTTAAGTAGCGGTGAGTGCAATGCTTCACTCATAAAGTGAAAGCAATTAATAGTGAATGGTGCTCATAATCAGGTATAAGTTATATAGGTTAAGGTACGGCCTGGATAGCGCAGTTGTAAGTTTAGTCACTGCAAAGCTTTTTATTCTTCATTCATGGAATGACAGAATTGACAAGGTTAGCATTTAGTACCTACCCATAATTGGCTGAGAGAAGGTGGTAGTGAGCTGCCTTCTTGAACCATTGTAAATACACCAAAAATGCCCCTTGGAAGAGAGATCAGGAGTTTGACTCAGCGACAGTGAAAGAACAGTGATATAGTTGTAAGTCAGGATGATGAGGGACTTGCAGGCGAACTTGCAAGTGATGCTGGTCCCATGCATTTGCAGCCCTTGCTCTTCTAAGTAGTACAGGCTGTGATTTTGGAAGGTGCTGTTGAAGGAACCTTGGCAAATTGCTGGAGTGTATTTTGTAGATGGTGCCCACTGCTGCTACTGTTTGCTGGCAATGGAGGGAGTAAAAGTTTACTGAGGTGCCAACCTGAAAACCCCTCTGGGTCTTAAGGTCAGGTGGAATCATAGAGGAAGGAAGCCATTTGGCCCATTGTGCCTGCAATTGATTCGTACTGAGTTAGTTGACCTCAACTGGGGACAATGGCACTACATGGTTTTAATTCTCCAGCAGGATTTGGGGAATGTTCTGTCCACCCTACTATCAGGGCTGGAGAGATTGTGACCATCGGGAGAAGGCAGGGTTAGGCTTGGTCATGTGACTATCCCTCCCAAGATGATTTGTTAACTTAAGGAGAAAACTGCAGTTAACTGGCAAAATACAAATATTCAGAATCAAATTTGTATTCACAATCAGTATTTTATTAAGATACTGAATAATAAGATTTTTCATTTGAAGAAAGACTTGAAAAATTGTGGTCATTTTTAATAAAACAGAGAAGATCATGGGACGATTTAAAAGTGTAAATAATCTTTGAAGAAATGGAACAGAGTGGATGCCAGTGATTCCAATGATTGACGGATCTAGAATGAAGAGTCACAAGGTGTAAGAATTGTGATGATGAGAAAGTTTTTGTACAGAGAGTTGTGGGACTGCAGAATGTATTACTGGAGTCAGTGAGTGAATTAGATCCCTTGAAAATACTTAGGAATAAGATGGACAGCTGGCTTTGGTTAGCTTAGTTGACTAGATGGCTGGTTTGTGATGCAGTGTGACACCAACAGCATGGGTTCAATTCCCACACCAGCTGAGGTTACCATGAGGGACTCTCCTTCTCAACTTCTCCCCTTGCCTGAGGAATGGTGACCAACAGGTTAATATACCCAAAATATACAACCTCACGCTAAACTACATGACCCTGAACATATTAGCATATGTAAAGAGAAACATAGGGCAAAAGTGATCTGCACAAATCCTGCATTGGGAAAGCAGTCAAAAAGAGGTGAATTTATAGAAGATTCAAACAGACAGAGGATGAATACAACTTCCCACAAGGATGAGATGAGAAGCACACTTCCCCAAGCAATGTTACTCTAATCAGTGGCCTAAGTGCAAATATGATGATCAGTGAGAAACGGAAGGGTCATTAAAACACTGGAGCCACCGCAGAATAGAGCATGGATGCTGTTCCCAATATCACTCTGTAACTCTGAGAAACTGCAGATCCATGAGTCTTTCAACCTGGAAAGGAAGGATCTGAGAGATTAATTTAGAAAGGTCACTAAGATTGGTCAAAGTATTGAAAAAGTCAATTAAGACCATGGGTTTGAATTGTGCCAATAGAAACTGGGGACATAATTACAAGTCTGAGAAAGGTAATGTGAGGATTGATAACAAGGACTTTTTCACACAATGATCAATATATGTAATTGACTTCCAACTACATTAGAGATGGCTGAAAATCCTGAGATTATTTCAGAAGTGATTAGATATTGTGAAGGGTTTATACAGACACTCCTTAAAGAGACAGGTTACTAAGTATTTGATTTTTGTTTTCATTAAAAAGCTGGAAGATCTGTGCAATTGCCCCTATTTGGACTAGTCAGTTCGAGACGCTCAGCTGAGTATTGGAATTGATCAGAAAAGGCCCTTCTTTATCAGACTTTAAGCAGCTGCTTGACATCGTTGGCTGAACAGGACTTCCACCACACTTGGGTCTATGAGAGTGGAAGTATCCCCCAAGTCTTTCTCATTGCAAGCAATACGCCTCAGGATGCGCCTCATTATTTTACCTTTGGGGAAGAAAGAAATGTTTGGTTAACAATGCGTTCTGTTGTTAGCTGGGTGTTCTTTACAAACAGTCTGAGGTTTACATACTGCAGCCTCAATTCTATATAGTGACACATGGTTTACCTGAACGGGTTTTTGGAAGCCCAGGTGCATTTTGTATGAAGTCAGGTGTTGCTATCGGTCCAATCTTTTGTCGTACTGCAAATATAAAAAAAGAGATATCAAGTGATTTTAGTCGGTTTAACTGTTTTATTTTCGAGTGATTTTGCTTTGTTGTTAGTCCAGCTGGTAAGCATCAGCATTGACGAATAGGTTCAACAGAGAAAATAGGAACAGGAGTAGGCCATTCAAGCCTGCTCACCCATTCAGTATGATCATGGCTGATTTTCCAACTCAGCAACTCGTTCCCACTTTCTCCCCATACTCTTTGATCCCATTAGCCATAAGAATTATATTTACCTCCTTCTTGAAAACATTCGGTGTTTTCACCTTAAATGCTTTCTGCGAGAGAGAATTCCACCACTCTCTTGGTGAAGAAATTTCTCCTCATCTCAATCCTAAATGGCCCACCCTGTATTCATAGACTGTGATCCCTGGTTCTGGACTCCCCAGTCATGGGAACATCCTTCCTGTGTTTACCTTGTCCAGTCCTGTTAGTATTTTATAGGTTTCCAAGAGATCCTTCCCATTCTTCTAACCTTCAGTGAATATAGTGCTAACCGATCTCTTCATACACCTGAACATCTTTCCATGCTTTAGCAAGTTCAGGCACCACGAGTTCCCACATCAGATGCAATATGGGTTTCTTACAGCAAGAAGGTCATAAAGGTTCCATCCACTGTATCAGTGTAATGTATTCTAGCTCACAAAATCACTCTGTGCTATGATAAATGTGAGTAATAAAGTGGACGACAGGTAGGTCAGGATTCAGGCCTAGCTTCAGGGACAAGAGCATGGGATAAAGGTTGATCCTGCAGTGGACTGAGGGAGTGCCAGGGATGCTATCTCTCACATGAAACATTAATACCTCCACCGCCTCCTCCCCCACCCCCGGCACCACTGGCCTCTCGGATGAATATAAAAAATCCTCTGGCACTGCACAAAGAAGAACAGAGGAGCTTTGCCAGAGATCTGGTTAAAACCTACCTTCCAACCAACATCATGAAAAGCAGATCATTATCTCATTGCTATTTGTAGGACCTTGCTGTGTGTGAATTGGCTGCTGTGCTTTCTACATTACAATGATGATATTTTAAAAGTACTTAATTAACTATATCGAGGAGATGGTGGTAACTTCTCCGGACTAGTAATCCAGAGGCAAGGCTACTGGGGACATGGACGCAAATCCTATGACAGCTACTGGTGGAAATTGTCATTTGGTCTGGCCTACATGTGAGTCCCAACCCACAGCAGTGTCGTTCTTTGTTAACCACCCCCTGAAACATTCAAGCAGCCACTTGGTTCAAGGCTAATTAGGAATGGGCAGCGGATACTGGCCTTGCCAGTGAAACCCACATCCTATGAAATAATTTTTAAAAGTCTTTTGGAACATTCTGAGTTAATGAAAGGAGCAATTTAAGTAGGGATGTAGGATGTAGGAGCTGGCCACTTTTACTCTCTGAGCTTGCTTTGTCATTCAATGAAATTATGATTGATTTGACTGTGGTCCCACCTCCACTTTCTGACCAGGTCTCTCCACTCCCCTTACGATCAAAATTTGATCGAAGGTAGCCTTGAATGAGTTCCCTGACCCAGCCTGCACTGCTTTCTGGGGAAGAGAATTCTAGAGACAACAAGGAAAAAGAAACAATACTGACCCCTTTGAGGACTGAACTCAGGACCTTCAGTTTATGAAACTGACACACTATCTGCAGCAAAAAGGAGGCAGAGTCTTCAGATCCATGTCTATTTATTCTGCATGAGGCTGATTTAAAGTAGCAGACCTTTCAAATCGAACCAACTTGGCAGGTGAAGTAATGAGATCTTAAGAGTTGTCCAGTGTCAGACCATCCCAGCAAACCAGGTTGCTGCCCCAAATGTTGTCTTGTAATTCGCAGATTTGAATTTTAAATCAGTGCAATAAGAAATTGAATCACTAAAAATATTGGAAATAAATGGCACATTCAGGCTGTATTTGGAAAATTTCATCACAGCCCCCGGAAATCTCTCTTTCAACTCAAGACTGACTGACCTGCTGTATATATTTCATGATTCTTCATGCATTTTAATTTCCGCTCACATAAATTTTCCTGTTTTTCCTTCCCATCCATCAGCACTTCCTCCCTAGTGGGTAATGCACGACAGTCTCATTACGGTTCTGCTATAATTTATCCTCATTCCTGCCCCGATGTCTACCCCACTCCGACTGGTGTTGACAGCAGTTCTTTGATTTGTAGGTGGCATTAGCCAATGTGAAGTGGCAGGTTCACAGAACAAATGTGCTGCTCTCAGCACTCCTGGTAATAGCACAGGGTTAGAGGTGCTGGCACTGTGACTCAAGGAGAAAACATCTGGGAATGTACAGTCAGAGGAGGGAGTGGAAGTAAAAATGAAAGCCCTTCTCCACGGCCCAGCAATCCCCAAGGCCACGCTGCAGCCGTGAGAGGTGTCCAGTTCCCCAGGGACTGCAGAAGGCAAATACTATCCAGTATCATTCAGTTTAAAGTGTATGTCTGTGGCTCAAGGCTACGTACAGAATTCATGTCAACCATGGTACTGTAGTCAACTCCCAGGTTAAGAAATACAGAATGGCTGATTGCAAATCAACACAAGCCAGAACTTGCAGGTCAGGAGAGAAAAGGAAAGGGAAAAAATGGAAAAAAGAAAGAGACACATAAGAAAGACAGGTTCCATCGACACCACACTGAACACAATTCATTGTGAAATGCTTTCGAGCTGTTGCAGTCTGATGAACCATAATATAATGCAAGTTTCAGACTTGCCATATCGTTAGCATTCTCCTTGATGCAATTTTGTCCCCATTTCAAGTTCCCACCCTTCACAACGCGCAGCTACATCCAAGAGACTGACCAGCAACTTATTGTTAGCTATCTTCTACCGACGGGTGTTTGACAGACGCTGTGTTTGACGGGTGTGAAATTCTTCAGAGATTTCCTTTTGTGTGAGCACTTTGTCCACACTCTCTCCAATCAATATCTTCCTTACACTGGGGCTGATTTTCTTTTGTAACTCACACTGGGGAGACTAGGTGAAGCCATCTTGTTCATTAGTCCCCTTGGCACCAGGAAAATAATTTAGAAACACTCCATCGAATCCCTATAGTGTGGAAACAGGTCCACGCCAACTTTCTAAAGAGCATTCCACCCAGATTCACCCCCCTACCCTATCACCCTGCATTTCCCACAGCTAATCCATCAATTTACACATCCCCAGACACTACAGGCAATTTTAGCATGGCCAATCCACCTAACCTGCACTTCTTTGGACTGTGGGAGGAAACAAGAGCATCCAGAGAAAACCTACACAGACAGTCACCCAAGGCTGGAATAAAACCCAGGTCCCTGGTGCTGTGAGGTAGCAGTGCTAACCACCGAGCCACTATGCCACCCACTTATGTGCAATGTTTCCAGAGCAGTTCCTGCAGATACCTTATATAGCTGTATACCCAGCTCGGGTAACAATGAGGGAGGCTACCGTGCCCACACTCTTCCGTAGAGTTATATTATATAGAGTCCTACTACAGGCAAAGGACACATCATTTAACAGGAACTAGGCTCCTGCCTGAATCTCCATTTTGAAGCCTTTTCATGGAATTAATTCAGATGGGCCCTGGCCAATCATAGGGCGGTATATTCCCATTTCAATTTTCATTGCCCTGCAGAAGGTGAGGAAGGTGATGGTGAGCTGCCGCCTTGAACTGCTGCACATCTTGGGATATAGGTAGACCCACAATGCTGTGAGCTCCAGAGCTGCAGGATTTTGACCCAGCAACATTAAAGGAATGGCAATGTATTTCCACGTGGGGATGGTGAGTGGCTGGGAGGGGATCACTGCAGGTGGCAATGTTCCATGTATCTGCTGTCCTTGCCCTTCTAGATGGGAGAGGTTGTGGGTTTCGAAGGTGCTGTCAAAAGAAGATTAGCGCAATTCAGTAGTGCAGTTTGCAGATGGTACACACTGCTGCTACAGTGTGCCAGCAGGGAAGGAAGCAACTGATGAAGGTGGTGGATGGGAGGACGGTCAAGCAGACAGATTTCTCATGGGTGGTGTCAATTTTCTTGAGTGTTGTAGCTGCACTCATAAAGGCAAATGGGAAGTATTCCATCACATTCCTAAACTGTACCCTGTAGGTGGGGAGGAAGGAGGACAGATAGCTGCCAGAGACATCCTGGCTTCTTACACGTATTTATAAACAATATTTACATGGCTGCTCCAGTTCAATTTTTGGTCAATGGTAACCCCAAGATGCTGATAGTGAGGCATTCAGTGATGGAGATACCAGTGAATGTCAATGGGCAATGGTTAGATTCTCTCTTGTTGGAGACAGTCATTGCCTAACATCTGTGTGGTGTGAATATTATTTGCCACTTTTCACCCTAAGTCTAGATATTGTTTAGGTCTTGCTGCATATGGATCACAGACTGCTTCAGTGTCTAAGGAGTTGCGAATAGTGCTGAACATTGTGCAATGATCAGCGAACATCCCCATTCCTGACATTCTGATGGAGAGAAGGTCATTAATGAAGATGAAGATGGTTGGTCCTAGGACAACCCTGCCCTGAGGAACTCTTGCTGTGATGTCATGGAGCTGAGATAACTGACCTTCAACACTACAACCATCTTCCTTTGTGCTAGGTTTGTGGAGAGTTTTCTCCCTGAGTCGCATTGATTCCAGTTTTGCTAGGGGTCCTTGGTGCCTCACTTGGTCAAATGCAGCCTTGATGTCAAGGGTTGTCACACTCACCTAACCTCACCTGGTTTCACATTTCATGAAGGCAAAAAAAGTGATTCTCCTGGAAGTACTGGAAACCTATGGCACAGAAGTGGCTGAATTCCCTTAAGCAGATAATCGTAGCCAATAGATTTTAGTTTCAGTTACCAATGGTGTTCTCCAGGAATTGGTGTGGAGCTTTACTATTAGCTATTTTATTAACAATTCAGTGTTGGCATTGAAGAAATGATCCAAGCAGCTTACACACATCAGGCTAGTGTGGGAGTCCCAGGTAGACTGGATAGTGAAGAAGGCGTTTGGTATGCTTGCCTTAATTCGTCAGTACATTGAGTATAGGAGTTGGGAGGTCATGTTGTG